ATCAGCTCGCAGAGGTTGAGGTGGCAATGCCCACTCTTTGCCTCTAACAAAAACAAAGGCATCGTCGCGTTCAGCTTCTCCCAAATCATCCCGTCGCGAATTGCGTCGATGACTGCGCCGAGGGTCTTCGGCATCGGCATGCTATGCAGGAGTGGCGCCTGGCCTGGGACAACGCACAGTCTCGGACTCAGCTCCCTTCCGCCAGTCCTGCACTCGATTCCATAATCTGAAAGTAGTAGGTTTGTGCTCCAAACGCGTCACCTTGAGTCCAGCCTTTGTCACCGCAGCTTCGTGCTCAGATAACGCGGCCTTTCCAATAAGTCCGCGGCCGCAACCAGCATCTACATCGTCATGTCTCACATCGTGGGAGGAACTCAGCACATCTACCTCATCCGTTGCGGCGTTCAACTTCTGGAAATACTCGAATACGTTCTCGATGTCATCATCGGAGTCCTCATGGGCCAACACCACCGGTACAGACTCCTCAGGTACTTCTTCCACGAACGCCACAGGTGGAGGTGACGTGAGAAACTGTGTTGGGCGTCTTGGCTTCTTGCAATCACGACTGAAATGGCCAACTTCATCACAGTTGAAGCACTTGGCCCGATGAGTTGGAAGTTTCAGATCGGGTTTCTTCGGTTTAAGGCCTCGCGATAACTGTTCCTTTGTGTTTTTCTTCCTCTGCTCTTTCCAGGTAACCAACACTTGAATCGCATCGGCCTCATCTATCACCTCATCTGGGGGTTCCAGCTCAGCGGCAATCAGCGCGTCGATCTCTTCATCAATTGGATCAACGTATGTTGCTGAGCTCTCGACCACCTCGTTCACGCTCACATGCCGATCCTGCCGATGCGAGCCATAATCTGCCATTCCATTGGGATGCGTGGTTCTCGAGGCCTGTGCAACTTCAGCTTCCATATGCGACTTCTGAGACGCTGCCAGAACCACAGCCTCTGAGACGGCAGCTGCGCACCCATCAAGAGAAGAAATCCCTTGGCTATCGACGGGAGCGGCGCACCCTCAGCATCTCCACGCGCATATGCTGCCCCCGCACGACCACAGAACTGAGCCATTGTCTCATCACGATCTTGAGACTGAACATCTCGGTGAGCGCCTCACCCAGTCGGTCATGTGCCGCTAAGTCTGGGAATCTCTCGTCCAACACGTTGAAGATGAGGCCCTCTCCACCTTCGACCTCGAATTCGTCAACAGCAAGCGTCTCGACTGCACGGGCCGCAACGTCGTCCAGCAATGTAAACTAGAGAGGACCCGCTGCAGCCGCTGGCACGCCACGTGCCTTCTCCACAATCAAATCTGCTCTCGCCCATTTCCGCCATGCGTGATACTCCCTGCTTGCCCCTGGGCCAGCACCAGGAAACGACGAACCGCTCCTGAGGAGTTGGGCCTGCCATCCTGCCGTAGATATTCGTCACCACCTGACCCTCGCCACGAAGGTCTCGAACTCGACTCTGACGCCGACTTCGGCGTCACTCTCCTTCGCGCCTGTCAAGGTACACCAGCGCCGCGAGGCGCGCCCCCGCGCGCCTTTTCTCTCCTGAGACCGGGCCGAAATGGCTATCCACCAGCGCTTGCACACACACACACACACTCTCCGAAGGCAGGCTCCCCTCAGCCAAGACGCCTCAGATCGGCACGACCCCTGCGGGTCCTGGCGACGCCAGGGCATCGCTCCGCCGGGCTCCACCTCGCCGCACACATGCTGCGCAAGTCCTGAACCACGGCGAGTTTTTCGGAAAGAGGAGGAGGAGGACCCGTGTAAACCCAAGAGTCACCAACGATGTTGGAATAAGCCCTCCCCCAAAGCTCCCTCTTCACAGGCCCCTACGACGGTTCATTTCCACAGGGGACCTGCCTCGTTGGAAGACAACCGCTTGAAGAGCCTGAAGGCTGTGAGAACATTGTTCTCGGTATTCCAACGCCACGGATAAACCTGATTGTTGCGTCTTGTCGATCCTGAATCGTGCCAGAACGCCATTCCAGGAACTTCAACACCGCGAATCATCGTACACTGACTGCTACGGCCCCATAATGGTGAATCCGTCCAACACATCATTTCTGGTCCGTCGATCATGGGAATCCGTGAAACCTTTACCTGTGTGTATGAAGAACGCGCGCGGCGCACAGGCGAGAGCCACATGTTGAAAACCAGCCGACCTCAATCCCTGAAACTTTTGCAAATGTTTGAAACGAATGCGCGCGGCGCTAAGGCGAGAGCCACATGTTGGAAACCACCCGCCCTCAATCCGTGAAACCCTTGCACTTTTTGTCAAGCGAATGCGCGCGGCGCTAGGCCGAGAGCCACATTTCGAAAAGGAACCGCCCTCAATCCGTGAAGCTTTTGCAATTTGCTCAAGCAAGCGAATGTGCGCGGCGCTAAGGCAAGAACCATATTTTGAACATGAGCCGCTCTCAATCCGAGAAGCTCTTGCAACTTTTGAAAACGAATGTGCGCGACGCTGAGGCGAGAGCCACATGTTGAAAACCACCCGCCCTCCATTTGTAAACTTGTTGTCACACTTTAAGTTTCAGGGTCATGACTGGTGAAGAATTCTCAGGCGAAGCGCCCGGCCCGCCCTAAAAACTAGCTCCGGGGTGAGACAGGGAAACGTACATTTATAAGGAGAAGGAATGGAGGACGGGGAGGAGGAGGAGGAGGAGGAGGAGAGGAGGAGGAGAGGGAGGGAGAAGAGGAGGAGGAGAAAGGAGGAGGAGAGGAGGAGAGGAGGAGGGAGGAGGGAGGAGGAGGAGGAGGAGGAGGGAGGAGGAAGAGGAGGAGGAGGAGGAGGAGGAGGAGGAGGAGGAGGGAGGAGGAGAAGGATGGAGGAGGGGGAGGAGGAGGAGGGAGGAGGAGGAGAAGGAGGAGACGAGGAGGAGGAGGAGGAGGGGGAGGAGGAGGAGGAGGAGGAGGGAGGAGTAGGTGGAGGAGAAGAGGAGGAGGAGGAAGCCTGCCCCGCACGGGTATGGTTGACATGTGGTTTTGCCTACCACCAGCACCGGCCTGCGCGCGTTCGACCCTGTCCCGACGCCGTGACTATTGCGCTGCATGGACTCCCATAGGTACGGACCCCTCCCCTGGCACCGCTGTTCATCGCCGAGCCCAGACCCCCTCGGGTCATGAAAACATCACGACGGAGAGTTGCTCGCTATTCTCATGAAAACAGCGACAATGAAGGGCTCCCAGAGGCTGCAGCCTCTGAGAGCCCTCACCGGGCCTCGGGACTGTCAAAAAACGACTCAGGATGAGAAACCGGTCCCTGAGAATGGATCCAGACCTTTGGGGTGCGACGTCATGAAAAAATCATGATGTCGGGGGTCTGGGAGTATACAGGTCCTGGAGCCCGGTGAGGGCCCCAAGGGGCCAGAAGTTGCCAAAAGCCTCCCGTCGTGCTCAGTGCCGGCGCGACGGGAGAGGGCCCGGGCACCACAGGTTGGGAAGCGGCTGGCGGGGTCTGCGCTGGACGGGTCCCGAGCAGATCAGCCGAGAAGGGAGGACGAGAGGCAAAGCCAGTCAAAATCGGCCCCCGCCCTCCTCCTCTTCCTCCTCCTTCTCCTCCTCCTCCTCCTTCTCCTCCTCCCCCTCCTCCTCCTCCTCATTCTCCTCCTCCTCCCGCTCCTCCTCCTCCTCCCCCTCCTCCTCCTCCTCGTCGTCCTCCTCCTCCTTCTCCTCCTACTCCTCCTCCTCCTCCTCCTCCTCTTCATTTTCCTCCTCCCCCCTCCCGTGGTCGAATCTGGCGACTTCTTGGAGCCGCGTCCAGCCGCGGCGGCGAGGGGGCAGCTGTCCCCCCTCCCCTTTCGGCTGGCCAGAACCAGTGTGAAGTCGGGCGTGTCCCTCTACATGAAGAATATTCGGAAATAGTTCACAAGTATACGTTGCATCTTCGGGGGACCTGGCCTGTCTCCAAAATTTGTATCTTTTCTTGTACCCGACACGGGCTCGATGCGGACTCGACGCAGATTTGGCGTGGATTCGTCGCGGACTCGACACGGATTCGACACGGATCCGACGAGTCCGACATGGATTCGACACGGATTCGACGCGAATAAGGCCGCGACGGGACAGACAAGGTCCCCCGAGGATGCAACACGGGGACGGTTTTGATGATATTACTATTGTCTGAAAACTATGTTTGAATGTGTTTCGAATATGTTTTTGGGTGCTTGTTCGTCCAAGATCCGCCTGCAGGAGGACATGCCCAAGCTAAAATCAGTGCTGAGCCACATCAGCCATGATCAGTCAGCATCGGATCTCGGGGGCGACCAAGAGGGGGTGATGACTGGGCCATCAGATTTCCTTAGAGTTCGTGGCGCCTCTTCTTAGTTCATGACGTCCCTGCCCCCCCCTGGGCCGCGCACATGCCGCCGGCCATGATTTGCCCCCCCCCCCCCCCCAATTCGCCTCTTGGACTGTCAATGCCGCGCCTTCCTGTGGCCTTGCTGCGTTCCTGCTCGCAGCGCGCACCGCCAGCGACCCACCCGCGACCCACCCACATTGCTTTGACGTGAAGCGCGGCGCCTGCGGCGGGCTCGTTGCAACGTGTGCGTGTTACGAAATACTGGCGCCTGCGGCGGGCTTCTTCGGAACCTCGTAGACTGCCAACGACCCCGCCGCCCTGCCATGGGTTCGGCAGGGGCCCGCTGTTCCTCAGCGCATTCCACGGTCGTTCCTCTAGCCCTCCTCGTGCACCCATGCGTGTTTGGGCCCCCCCACAGGGGCCTCGACCCTTCCTATCTACAGTCAAGCAGCTGATCAAGAAACTTCCTCACGGAAAGCTGGGCCAGCGTTTCTTGACTAGCTTGCCGGAAAGTTGGCGCAGTTTCTTGAGCACGTTCGCCCCGTCAGCGTGAACGGCAGAAATTGGCCCAGGCTTGTTCAATAAGCCTGTGCGGAGTTGGCCCAGATTTCCTAGACGGTAGCTTTCTGGATCACATCTTCTGCTGCATTCAGCGTTCCTTCTTGCAGCAGCCCGAGTGTACGGTAGGGCCCCCCCTGCGCGTGACAGCCGGCATCCCGGCGGCGCCCCGAGCAGCAGCGGCGGCGGGGGCGCCGCTCCACGGCCAGGGGGCGCGGCCTCTTCGTCCTCGAGCGACCTGGGCGTGCCCGCGCAGCAGCGAGGCGGGGGCGCCGCGGCGGCGGCAGCGGCGGCGGGCTCTGCTGCTGAGGCCAAAAGTCGTCGTCGTCGTCGTCGTCGTCGTCGTCGTCGTCGTCGCCGTCGTCGTCCTCGACAGATGATGACATGAACATAGAACGTTCGTAGGTCCGCGCGGATTTCTGGGGTCGGCAATGGCTTCCCCTCCCCCCCGGCGCGCGAAGCGCGCCAAGTGGCCCCGCCAGAGGCGCCGCCAGGGGGCCCCAGCGCCGATGCGAGACATCCGCGCGGATCTCCGGAAGTTTATGGTCATGCCACGGTTTGTTCCCGTACACAAATATCTGTGTGTATATAATATCTGTGTGTACATATATGTATATATATATATATGTGTACATTCATATAGTCGGCTTGCCGCAGCGCTCTCGACCGTGCGCCCCTCCCTCCGTTCCGTCGAGTTTCCGGGGAGCCTCGTGCAGGTTCTGAGCGTCATGGGAGGGCGAGCCGAGGCAGCAGCCGTTGGCCCTTCGGGGGAAGGCCTCGCCGCCGCGGCTGGGCGCAGCGCGGAAGAATGGCTCGCTTGGGCCCCCAAAGGGGTCCGCGCACCGATCCTGTCCCTATTCGCCCTGACTTTGTCAATGTTTGCTGCAAGCGTCCTTGACAACTGATGGCGTTTGACAAACGACTGCGCGCATAGTATTATTGGACAAGGGTGAGAGGGGGGGCGATAACAGCCTTCCTTGGGATAGTAGGAGCTCAAATTTAGAGTGAACGATGGGGCAGAATCGTCGGAGGTTGGGGGGTGAGATCGCAGTGAAACGGAGACTCCCCACCGGGAAATCGGTTTCGGTGTCGTGTTCGTGTCGCGCGTGCGGGCGAGGCGAAGCTGCGCGTGATCCTCCTGTAGCTAGGCCGAAGTAGGAGCGAAAGTCCGTTTCCCGTCCGCCAGTGGCCGGGAGGTGTCCCAGTTGGGCCAGGCGGTGTCCCGGGTGTCCCTGGTGTCAGTAGGCGCGAAAGTCCGTTTCCTGTGCGACGGTGGCCAGGAGGTGTCCCAGTTGGGCCGGGCAGTGTCCCGGGTGTCCCGGGTGTCCTGGGCGGCCCAGAGCTAATGCATGTCGCTAATTTCGCATTATTATTTTTGTCTGCGCCTGCGGCGGGCTTTCTTATCCAATCCAGCTTACGTTATCCAATCCATCTTATCTTATCCAATCCATCTTGTCCCATCTTATCCTTTCCCACCCGGTCCAATCCACCCAACCCAATCCATCTATTCATTTGTTTCTGCGCCTGCGGCGGGCCAATCCAATCCACCTTATCTTATCCTATTCATTTCTGCCAATACAACCCATCTTGTCTTATCCAATCCATCTTATCCCATCCAATCCAGACCCAAACCATTAATTCATTTTTGTCGGCGCCTGCGGCGGGCTTTCTTATCAAATCCAGCTTATCTTCGCCAATTCATCTTGCCAAATCCAACCCATCTTATAGTATCAAATCCCATACAACCCATATTGTCCAAGTTTGGAGTAGTTCAGTAGTAGTAGTAGTAGCAGTAGCAGTAGTAGTAGTAGTAGTAATAATAATAATAGCAGTCGTACTAGTACTAGTAGGACGAGTAGTAGCACTAGTAGTGGTACTAGTAGTAGTAGTAGTAGTAGTAGTAGTAGTAGTAGTAGTAGTAGTAGTAGTAGTAGTAGTAGTAGTAGTAGTAGTAGTAGTAGTAGTAGTAGTAGTAGTAGTAGTAGTAGTAGTAGTAGTAGTAGTAGTAGTAGTAGTAGTAGTAGTAGTAGTAGTAGTAGTAGTAGTAGTAGTAGTAGTAGTAGTAGTAGTAGTAGTAGTAGTAGTAGTAGTAGTAGTAGTAGTAGTAGTAGTAGTAGTAGTAGTAGTAGTAGTCGTAGTCGTAGTCGTAGTCGTAGTCGTAGTCGTAGTCGTAGTCGTAGTCGTAGTCGTAGTCGTAGTCGTAGTCGTAGTCGTAGTCGTAGTCGTAGTCGTAGTCGTAGTCGTAGTCGTAGTAGTCGTAGTAGTCGTAGTAGTAGTAGTAGTATAGTAGTAGTAGTAGTAGTAGTAGTAGTAGTAGTAGTAGTAGTAGTAGTAGTAGTAGTAGTAGTAGTAGTAGTAGTAGTAGTAGTGGTGGTAGTAGTAGTAGTAGAAGTAGTAGTAGTAGTAGTAGTAGTAGTAGTAGCAGTAGCAATAGTAGCAGTAGTATTTTTGTGATTATTATTAATATTATTATTATTATTATTATTAGTATTAGTAGTAGTAGTAGTAGTAGTAGTAGTAGTAGTAGTAGTAGTAGTAGGAGTAGTAATAGGAGTAGTAGTGGGAGTAGTAGTAGGAGTAGTAGTAGTAGTAGTAGTAGTAGTAGTAGTAGTAGTAGTAGTAGTAGTAGTAGTACAGAGAGAGAGAGAGAGCAGGAAAGAGAGAGACAGAAGGCGAGAGAGAGAGAGAGAGACAGACAGGGAGAGAGACAGAGAGAAAGAGAGAGATAAGATCAAGGTGACAGGCTGCAGGTCAGTCAGGGTGCGCATTTGATCTCAATCTCCCCCAACCTCCTTATCGCCTGCAGGGCCGTCGTATAGGTATACAAATTGTATTATCCAAGGGATCCGAGAGATTGTCCGTGCAGCCTTTCGGATGACCGTGCGGGTATCTTGGATCCGCGCTGGGCCGCCAGGAGTGCCCAGCACGAATCTAACTCCGAAACGGCGCATCGGCCGTTGAAACTATGTGTTTTTGGAACGCTCGATTCCAACCCTCTTCAGGCGCCTTCCTAGGTCAAGGACAGAATGGTGTCCCTCTTCCCGTGTCAGGGGCGGGCGGAAGCCCAATCTACTTCCAAAGACTTCTTGCTCCGTGCTTCTACCCATTTCTTCAGACCGATGAGTGCGTTTGTGCCGTTTCCCCTTCCTCCTCCAGAAGGGGAGCTGGGATACGGCGGACTGGCAGAAGGTGTGCGCGCTGGCGCGGGCGCTGGAGAGCTACGAGGCGGGGCAGCTCGGCATTGAGCAGCTGCGGGCAGTGCTCGCGCAGGCCCGCGAGGTGCGGGAGTGCCTCGGGCGGCTGGAGAGAAACGCGCTGGCCCGGCTGGGGCAGCAGTCCTGACGTCCGCACCCGCTCGCGCACAGCCGCCGGGACGGAAGGAGACTGGCCATGAGGCCACTAGGGGATTTTTTTGGCGTCCACGGGACTTCCTCGGGCCCCAGGAGGATTTCCTCGGGCCATGGGGCCTCTTGGGAAGTTGGTTGGCTTCCAGGATTGTCAGAAGATTGCCGCAGGCTGAAGAGCTTGTCATGTGGGAAGGCCCCAGTGTCCACAGGACCCGTTTCCCAAAGAACCCGTGTGGTCCATGCCAAGGCAGGGCTGGCGGTTCATTGCCATACCTTGCGACGCGCCCAGCTAGTATTCTCCCGTCCGTCCTCCTCGTCCCCGGTGCCGCTGCCCACCCAGGCGACGCAGGATCCGCAGAAAGGGACCTGCACACCACCGCCAGGCTTGGCCAGGGCCATCCTGGGCCCTGGCCTCGGCCCGAAGGGCGTCTTTTCAATGCTCCAGAGGAGGAGGAGGAGGAGGAGGAGGAGGAGGAGGAGGAGGAGGAGGAGGAGGGAGGAGGAGGAGGAGGAGGAGGAGGAGGTTGGAGGAGGAGGAGGAGGAGGATTCTACCAATTTGTTTGGAGGTGATGATGAGTTTCTTGACTTAGCTCGAGCTAAAGATCAGCTGCAGAGCTGTATCATGTTCTGAGCCCAGGATGGCCCCTGCCAAGAAGGATGGATGCGTGTGGCTGCCTTCTGCGTGCTTATAAGGAGGGTCGACCGCCCGGATCTCCGCCGCAGGCCGCCCGCGAAAGGTCGCGCGTGAGCGCCTCGCGCTGCCGCGCGGTCTGCCGCGCCGGCGGCCTGCGTGAGCCACCGCGTAACGTCGCCGCGCGGCCGTGCGCAAGGACCCTCCTGCCCAGAGCCCCGAATCATCAGGGGTAACTCGGGTCAGGGATAAATCGGGTTCGCTTTTCGGGAATCCAAGCCCGAGTTACCCCGGACCCGAGTTACCCCAGATAACTCGGGCGTCCAGAGCCCCGAATCATCAGGGGTAACTCGGGTCAGGGCTAACTCGATTTCCTTTTTCGGGAATCCAAACCCGAGTTACCCCGGACCCGAGTTACCCCGGATAACTCGGGCGCCCAACCTTCCCTTCGTGGCCCATCGATCTGTCTTACAGTGGGGGGCGCGCATCAAGAAACCAGATGCTCTTCGTCACGGTATCCTGGGTTTCTCCGCTCCTGGCGCTGCGCGGCGGCTTCCTCCCGCAGGCGTGGAGGGAGCTGCTGCGTTCAGGGTGCTCCAGGTTTCCCCTCAGGTGCACCTCGCGCACGGGGTCTCAGGGTAGGGTTTCTTGCCATGGTTTCCTGCGGCCGCGCCCGCACTGTACCCTCCGCTCAGGGTGGGCCATCCCCTGAGGCCTTCCTCCGCCGCGGGCCCTCCTTGCCCGCAGCGCGCTGCCTGCTGCCTGCTGCCGCCACTCCTGCCTCCTCCGTCTTGGCCCCCCCGGCCCGGCGCAGGCCGCCAGTGCGCCCATGATGGCCCTCCAGCGCCTGTGTGTGGTGTTTGCGCGGGGGCTCGCCCACCTCCCTCCCCCATTCCCCTTCTCCTCCTCTCTAGGCCTCCCAGATGGGGTCCGAGTAGATGGGGTCGGAGGATCGCGCCGCATCGCGGATGCATCGGCGATGCGGCTCGATGCGGAGCCAGATTTGCTTCACGTCGACGGTGCCGATGCATCGCCCACGTCGACGATGCACATCCGGTGCATCAACGATGCATCGACGATGCATTGCCGATGCATCGCCGATGTATCGGCGATGCGGCGCGATCCTCCGACCCCATCTACTTCGACCCCACCTAAGAGACCTCTATCCTCCTCCTCCTCCACCTCCTCCTCCTCCTCCTCCACTTCCTCCCCTGCTTCCTCCTCCTCGCTTCTCGCCTCTCGCTTCTCTCTGGCGGCCTCCACTCCGCACCCGCCCGCCCCCGCGCCGCCGGGTCGCTTTCAGAGGGTGCTGGAAGGAGGCCGTGCCTGCCAGGGGGGGCGGGGCTGGGCCTTCCCGCCGCCGTCCCCGGGCCCATACACCGTAGCGGCGCCTGCCCCGCGACCCGTGCACAAGGCGTGCAGTGTTCTGGTTAAGTAGTGATGCCATGGGGCGGCGACGTTTCATATTTTTGACCCCCTCTACCGCCATGGCCTTGGGGCCAGCTTTTGCTCAATACCGTTCTCGCCGAGGCCCTGGACGTGAGTTTCGGTTGAAAGTCCATGTGTTCGCACATTACGTTTCAAAAAAAGATAAGCGGATTGGTTTGAGCACGGTTCTGCGTGCGCGTGTTTTTGTTCTGCTATTTTTCCTCCAGATCACGATCCCAATGCAGTCAGTGGTTTGGGAAACTTGCGGGTTGAAAATGCTGTGTATCCCGGCCACCCAAATTCACTCAAACTGTTTTTACACGATCAAGACATGTACAGACAAGCGTGACGGAAGGCGCAAACACCCATGCGCGACGACGGCGGCAGCAGCAGCAGGGCGTCCACGATATCATTCGTGTCTTTTTTCGCATGTCTTTCCCGCCCGCCTGGGAGGACAGGAGGAGGATTTGGGTCACGTCAACACCACCGCCGACATCATCATCATCATCATCATCATCATCATCATCATCAGCAGCATCAGCATCATCAGCATCAGCATCAGCATCAGCATCTTCTTCTTCATCATCATCAGCATCATCATAACCGTCAACATCTTCACCACCATTGACATCATCAACACAACAGCACCATTGCCATACTCATCACCAATCATCATAGTCAACGTCAACACCATCATCGTCATCATCATCGTCATCGTCATGGTCATCGTCGCCATCATCAGCATCACCATCGCCACCACCATTCGCATCATCATCATCATCAGCATCACCATCACAAACATCATCATCCTCATCATCCTTATTATCATCATCGTCATCAGCATCATCATCATCAGCAACAGCATCATCAGCATCAGCATCATCAGCAGCAGCATCAGCATCAGCATCAGCATCTTCTTCTTCATCATCATCAGCATCATCATCATAACCGTCAACATCTTCACCACCATTGACATTATCAACGCAGCAGCACCATTGCCACACTCATCACCAATCATCATAATCAACGTCATCACCATCATCGTCATCGGCATGGTCATCGTCGCCATCATCAGCATGACCATCGCCATCACCATTCGTATCATCACCATCATCATCATCATCATCATCACCATCATCATCATCATCATCAGCATCACCATCACAAACATCATCATCCTCATCATCATTGTTATCATCATCATCGTCATCAGCAGCATCATCATCGCCATCACCACCATTATCATCAGCAACCTCATCATCACCATGGTCCAGCACACGGTATTCTGTCGTAGGGGATCGTTGGAGTTGGATGGTTGTGGCGATCAGCAGATGTGCACCGAATGACACTATTTGCAAAGGTGGGTGAATGTTCGGTCTATGCGATGATCAGCCGATGTCCACTAGTCTGTATGTTTTGCAGGGAATCGTGGGGGTCAGACGTTCAGGAGTATGTGCAGACAGGTCAAGATGAGACGGTCTTGCGGTCAGCCGGTGTTCACCGCCTGTTTTTTGGCAGTGGATGGAGGGCTGGGTCGAGTCCGGTGGCCAGTTTGTGGCTCGTTGGCGATCGGCCGGAGGCGGGTGTCAGGGTTTATAGTTAAAACATTTGAGACTCAGGGTCTGAGTGTTAGGATTACGGGGCGCCTGACACACGAGGTTGCGTGGATCATTCCTTTCCACCCTGAGCGTTTCCCATAAAATCGACCTATCTTCTCATCGCGTCAACGCGGCCTTGCGTCCTCCGCGCCTCGGAACACAAAATGGGTCGTCTCAGCGATCTTGGGGCGTGCCTGGGTCCTGCTTCTATCTTTTCCATAATATCGCCTTCCTCAACAAAATGAACGCGCCGACGCAATCTGATTAATCGACTCCTTGGTGCCTCCTGCGGCGACGACGACGATGAATATGAGGATGTGGATGCTGCTGCTCATGGCGACGGCGAGCTTTGCAGCGCTTGGTCCGCAATTGGAGCGTCTCGGAGCGTCGAGACACTCGGGGACGTCTGGGGGACCTGGGGGCTCGCTGCGAAAATCAGCCGGTGTCCACCCAAAATGTTCTTCTGTGGCAGTGATTTGTTGGATGTGTGCGGCGATCAGCAAAATTTGCACCGACTGGCATTTGTTGTCTAGGATGGTAAGTGTTGGGCCGCTATGAAGGTCAGCCGATGTTCACCAACTTTTGCTACTTCAGATATGTGTCGGAGGGACTGTCGGGATTGAAAGGGTGTGAACGTCAGCAGATGTTGGTCGGAGGCTTTTGTTATAGGATGGTGGGTGTTGGGCCGGTGTGGAGATCAGCCGATGTCTACCGATTTGGATTATTGGAGGGGATCGTGAGTGTTGGATGGGTGCGAAAATCCGCAAACATACACATTTGCTGCTCTTGCACATGATGAACCGATTTGAAGATCCACCGGTGTCCACCAAATTGTATTTTATTGGCCAGGGATTGTGGGGTTCGGGTAGGTGCGAAGATCAGAAAATGTGTACCGAATAAGATGATGGAGCATGGTGCTCAGCATGAGACTATCTTGCAGTCGGCCGATGCGCACGGATTCACATTACATCTTGCAGGGGATCGCAAGAAGGATCGCGGCGGGAGGTCGGTTTGGAGCCGTTCTGGAGCCCGTTGGAGGCGGGGGTCAGGGCTTGATCATTATAGGACAAAGGACTTCGGGTGTTACCAGCCTGGAGCATATCCCTATCCCTATGCTGGGCACCTCCTCATCACGATGCCAATCTTAGGGATTCCCTTATGTTTTGAAGGCGTTCGAGGCTGGTAAGGGTGGTCGGTTCGTCGGGGTCGGGTTCTGGAGCGAGGGGCCCACGGGCCAGGACAGCCGCGAAGCAGGGAAAGATCCGTGGCTTCCCCAATTCTGCGGCGCGCCTCCCTGCAAAACCGCCTGAATAATCCGCCCCCCAACGCCGTCGTGGGTCCCACGAACGCATGTGAGAAGCGGCCACCCCGCCTGACGAAGAAGCGCCTGACACAACCGGCCCTTGGGGCTTTCAAGTGTAATCAGGGATATGCAGTACTATGATTTCGCGTGTTGGTGCTCGTCGAGATGAGGCTATAGTCTTGGCGCCAGGGTCATGGAGTCCCTGTCGCGGTCGCTGCCGGTCACTCGCCAGTGTTCCGTCCGCTTTCGGTGCGGGTCGGCGCGAGCTCCCTCGCCTTGTCTCAGGGTGCGCGAACATTTGCTTCTTGTGTCACAGGCACAGAAGCTTGTTCATCCTGCTGTCGGGTCCCTTTCCCTACTCCATTAACCTTCCCACTTGTAGATTTCTTCCCTTCGTCAACATGCATCCCTCCTCCAGCTTCTCAGGCTCATTCATCCATCCTTCTCCCTTTCCTCCACTTCCGCCTTCCCTCTCCCGAACATGTCGCCTGTGCAGGCATGGATTTCCTCCGTGCTTTGCCGCCCTGGATGGTTGTCATTCTCGATGTGCCTGCATTTTTCGACGGGGGCGGCCTGCCCTTGTATACAGCGTCCCGCGCTTGATGCAGGCAGGAAGTGTCCATGGCCCCTTTGGCCATCATGGCTTGGATGGGGGGAGGGACGAGAGAGGGAAGGGACTAGAAGGTGCGCCTCATGTTGCCGGCCATTTGATGCCCTCCGAGGAGCCTCCCGTGCCTTCATGCAAGGGCGCTAGATCACTGGGCCCCGCCATGAGTATTTTTGTTCCTCCGCGGCTTTCCGCCTAGTCTGTTTTCACTCGTGATTGGGTTCGAATTTGTATTCGAATGCCTCCTTGTCCCCCTCCGCCTCCCTTCGAGGGGTCTCTGGGGGCTTCCGGAAGGGCCGCCAGAGATTTTTTGAAGCGCCAGACGCGCCAAACACGACCAAAACCCAAATACCTCCGATTGTCAGAGCGAGGGGGCCGAATGGAATGGTCATTCATTGTCCCTGGGCGCGTGGCTGAAGGGGACTCCGCGGTGCGGATTGTTGTTGTTTTGCGCTGTTGCGTTGAATTTTCATGTCTCAAGAGTAATTATTGATGATCCCCTCTTCCTGTAACCATTGCATTTTTGCTTCCCTCAGTGGTCGCATCCGGTTTTTCACAAAGGGGAAATGAGGTGTCACCAAACTGTGTCTTTGGCCCCGGGGCTATAACAACATCAACAACAACAGGTCCCACCATATACGTCCTCACGCATTATTTCCAATCACGTTCCTGCGAGGGATTTCCTCACAAATTAAACAGGAAGCGCTCTCTCTCGTGGGACGCCCTCGCAATTAATTCAGACGCCGCACCTTCGACACTCAGGAATCACGCTCTCGACTCGGCCTTTCTCACGATTTTCTTGGGACTCGCGCCATCGCTCGAGACTTCCTCGCGATCCATGCAGGACGCACGCTTCAGCAGCCCGCCTGCTCAACCTGGCCGCCTGAGTCCGCCTTCCCGACCCGCCGGGTAGGGTCTGCCCGCACGATCTGCCCGTTTGGTTTTGCCACGTGTTTTCTGCTCCTAGCCCCCCTCCTGCTATTCTCCCTCGTGCTCCATCCTCTCCCCTCCCCCTTGTCCCTGCCTTCCATCCGTCCTCTCGTCCCCTGCCTCAGGGACTCCTCGAAATACACGCTGCAGGTGAGGAAGTTATACCCCAAAGGGGGCACGATCGAAGAGGCAGAGGGCAGGTATCGAGGGTTCGGGATACAGGTGTTGAACGGCACGCGAGCAGATAAGCGCGAACAGTCTGAAAATGAGTTTTGTTGTTGGTCAGCGGAAACACCATGCCGGCCCCCATTTGTTGTTGAGATCCTGTTCTTCTTGGAAAGTGAAGTTGTACTCCAGATTTCGTAATCAAGGGAGGGGGGTCTCATTTTGGGGGGGGTCTCTTCCAGGCTATCTCGGAGGGCCTGGGGGGATCTGGGGACGATGTTTTGGAGGGTTCTCCCACGGGGGAGGTCTGAAATGGGTTGTCTTGGAGGGTCCAGACCCCCTCCATTTTATTTCGAATTCTGGAGTAGGTATAAGGGTGGACAGGTGGTCGGCGGCCGCGACCTCGCCCCCCGGGGCCGGCAGGGGCGTTGACACTGGGGCGGGAATCGTTACCAATCACCTTCGGGGCCGGGTGGGGTGGTCGCGCACAGTGGCGCGCCGACGACCCACAATCCCTGAT